CTAGGACACTGACAGCCAGCACTACCCAGAGCACCAATCTGGTCGTGCAAAACCTGAGTGTATTATGTTACAGGGCCAAACATTCCAAGAGGGATATTCTAAGAAGGAACCTTTTTGTTTTTTTACGGTTCAGTAATGTTATACAGTCATTAATGTATAATTTTTATTTCTATCATGGAAAGGCTATGGGGAGAAAAAGGTTTTTGGGTTTTTTTTTTTTAATTTAGAAATACATTTTCAAAATTCAAACACAACAAAATCCAGAGGTGAATTAATAAAAATTTTAAGTTACTAACTATAGTCACTTTGTAATTGGTTGCTTATATGTTTAAATTTCTTCAACATAATTCTACTTAAAATGAAAATGTTTTGAGTATTGGGTGAACTGTACTTGTTCCTGCAACATAAATGAGTATTTTTCTAAAGAGTATTAATTCAGTGCACATATTTTTCAGAATAATTCTTATTTTTAAGTTATATTCAAAGTTATAGTAGTTTGCTCCACCCTATATGCACATGAGATAGTCACTTATTTTAGAAAATCCCTTTTAGAAAGTCCCTCCTCCCTAATGAATATTTAAGAAACCATTTAAAACATTCAAGTATTTATAATAAACAAAATAAATACAAAAGTGAAAAGACTTTACAATTTCCAAGGAACCAGTATGATCTATTAACAAATCCTGATTCTTCAGACATTTGGAATGCCATGCATAGATAGTAAGCTATCCAAACAGTAATTACATTCTCTCATGTCAATCACTCTGTTGCACACAATTAGCATGTTACAAAATTCTTGTGAAATTTCAGTTGAAACATATTAGCAAATATATTGGTGAAAAAAAAAAAACCAGCTATGAAAGTCCAGGAAGTCCTCTTATGAATTCTAGATGAGGAAAAAGGCTGTCTTTGCATGGCTCATTCATCAGAGAAAGAGAAATGTATTAAACGAGCTACTGAAATACATTATTTAATAAAGCAAAATGAGATGAAATCCTGTCACTTTTTTTAAAGACTAAGTCCTCTGACATAAGGCTCTGAGGTTCAAATCTATACCTCCTCCTAAAGCGTATTTTATTTTATGTTATGTTATTTTATTTTTTCCTCCTAAAGCACACTTTAAATTGAACCTATTATAACTGATTGTATAGTGTTCCACTTAACTATCTGCTTAGTCCATTTTTAGATACAGTTCATCCAGATAGGAAATACTGTCTAACAACTATGGGGTTAAACAAAACAAAACAAAACAACCTGACAAGTACTAAAATGTTATTTACATTTGTCCTCCTCTATGTGCCTTTCTTCCATGAAACAGAATTAACGATCCTTACTATTATTTGCATTATTATTATTTGTATTATGGATTTGTGATGCATTTTTAATGTCTACATTTTTATGAAATTGACTACTTTATGAAAGGTAATTAAATGATTCCAGAAAGGACTTTTTGTTTTAATCAAAGAATCATTGTGTATGATTCTATGTAAACAAAACAAACCAAACAAACAAACAAAAAACACTCCATGCTAAAAGTTATGGCCATTTAGTTATCCGTAAAACCAAAGAGAACTTCCAACGAAAGATCTTGGACCATGAGAAAATATTTCATCCAGGCTGCTGGCTGGCAACAGGCCACACAAAGCAGCACCCAGCCCTGCGTGGAGAGCAGGTTGGCAGATGTTATTAGCTGACTTTTCCTGAAAAAGTATGGGAGAACAGTTGGAAAATCACAAGGTGTTGGACAAGCTCTAAATAAATAAATAGCTTATTTGGCAGTAGAAAGAGAGAAAGACAATGAGCTCCTTCGTTGAGGAAGAAGACAGGGATACTTCTAATTACAGAGTTCCTTACTGTTGGTTTCATGGGCTGACTTCTTAATGAGCGTGGAAATTGTACCTCCCACACTTGTGTTGAGAGGTTCTAGGACTTCAGAATGACAATTAGTTTGCAGTTTTGCTCCAGATTTGTGATCTTTCTGGTATGGGAATGCCACCAATGTAGGTGAGAGTTCTTCGCCCTCCTCCCTTGGTGATTGAGGCAGCACGTGGGGAAAGTGCCAAGTGCCAACTTAGAGCTTCTAACACCTTAACTTGAACATGGCATTTAACACTAGAATAGCCCTAAGGAAAAAAACAAACACCCCAAAAACGACACTCGTTAACATCTGAGGGGCACGGCTAATAAGGATTCAGTGAATATACGAAAATCTAATTTTGTGGAAAAAGTGGGAGTCAAAAAGAAAAGAACGAGTCAAAAAGAAAAGAATGAAACAATTGCAAAAGGTACTTTCTCAGAGGAGATCATTACCCTGTGAGGCTGAAAGGAGGTTACCCCAGGGTCATGGTTGGCTAGCTAGGGTTGCTGAGCACATAGGCAGGCCCATCTAGATCCCTCACAAAGTAAGATGGGAATCATCACACAGCCCACAAAATTGGGCCACATTTTCTTCAAATTCCAAGAATCCCTTCATCTCTCCTTTCTGAGTAGACATATTGCTAGGCAACATTTGTTAACACAGAAAGGACAACAAGATCTAAAAGGAATGGAAAACCAGAGCACCATGTCTACGAAGGTGCCCCCAACACACACACACACACACACACACACGCATACAGGCACACACACTTAAAATGACATTCCAAGAGGTATTATTTTTTTTTAAAGTATGACTTAAAATGGAAGATCGCCTTTAAATATACCTCTTTGAGGCAAACTCTATTATGATACATGCCTCACTGATTCTTCTTCCCAAATTCATGCTACTCCACAATAATCATAACTCTACGGGCTAAAACGCTGTTTTCTTTGTGTAAATAGGGTTCTTTTGGCACATAATAGCAACTGGCAGAATCTTTAAGTTACATGCTTACAAATATGTGAAAATATTTATTACCCTTTCAAAAATTACAATCTTATTATCCTTAGACTTAAGATTTCATTATATTTAAAATAAAGACCTTTGTAAACTATAGAGGACATTCAAAGGCAAACTTCCAGGACTTAATAGGAAATAACCAACATTATTGTTTCAAATTATTTCATGAAGATACACAAATTAAAGGAAGAAAATAGACAAGGGCTTGTTTTGTTAGCCTTCTTAGTTTCTGCAAGACCCGGAGGCTGCTCCGGTCTCAACTCAGGGACACCCATCCTCACCGGTTGCCCCCACGGTTAAGAGATGCGACTGCAGGGGCACTAATTTGTAATCGACTTGGAAAGTCACAAAAGCCATCACAAAAGCCCTGTAGATGTAAACACTGGAAGCACTTCTTCAAGGGCATTTTCGACGAGGCAGTCGCCGCCCGCGAAGGGCGCGCAGGTCTGGAGCCGCCCACCTCCGCGCCTCCCGGAGCGGGGCCGGGAGGGTCTGGTGGGGAGGAGCGCACCCCGCCGCGGGGACCCGGCCTCGGAGCTTCGTTCTCGCCGGAGCCCGCCCTCTTTCCGGCACTATGGAAACTGCAATTTTCTACGCCTGCTCGTCCCCCTTCTCTTTCTCTTATTACATCCCAAACAGAAGGTTTCAACTTCCCGAGAACCTGACAAGTGAATGGCGCTGAGGACGCCCCGGAAGAGCCCACGACCTGGCTGCGGGGGAAGGGCGCCCCCGAGCGGGTGGGACCCTGGGAGCCACCCGAGACGAGCACTGTCCGGGATCGGGGGCGCCGCGCCCGCGCCCCTCCCCTCCTTCCAGGAAAAGGGCACCAAGCTGCTATCGACCCAGCGCTCACCGGTGACTAATGTGATGCTCGTAAACAAGGCGCGGGCCGGGCACCCGGGAACCACCCAGGCGCAAACCCGCCGCGGCGGGCGGGCGCGCGCCCACCCCGAGTTTGGGCGCCAGATCCGCTCGCCCAAGTGTGTATGATGGTGGGAGGGGGTTACGAGAGGGCAGCCAAGTTCATTGCCCCTTCTGGCCCCCGCGAGTGGGGCGGCAGCTGGGCGATGCGGGGCCCGAGGAAGGGTGCTGCGGCCCCCCGCACCCCCCACCGGCGCCCAGCCCCGGCTGGCGGTCTCGGCCCTTGATCTCCGCCGGCCCCCGCCCCCTGCAGTGTCCCCTCCCCCGGTCCCCTCCCCGGCGGAAGCTCCGATCCCAATTAATTGAGTCAAAGGCGGGAGGGAAGGGCCCTCCGCGCGGAGGCCGGCCCCCGCCCCTCCTGCGCGCCCCTTTTCCCGCCCTGGGTGGCATCTTCTCCGCCGGCATCCACAACGAGCCTCTGATTAATGAGGCTCGGGCCGGCCCTCACCCCGCCCGGGCCCGGGCCTCCGCGGGAGGGGGAGGGGACGGCGGGAAACGCAGCCCGGGGAGAAAGGGGGGCGGGGCGGGGGTGCGCGGCCCGCCCCCCCGCGGCCTGCTCCCATTGGCTGCGAGGGCCGTCCGTCGGGGGGCGCGGCGCCAATGCGGGCGGCGGGGCGGGGCGGCCGCGCCGTGTGTGCCTGCGTAACGCCGAGTCACATGTTGTTTTGCTCTTCTTAGTTCAGTCACTCGGTGCGCGATGTGTTACTCACTGTGCGGCGGGGACCGCGACGAGCCCGGGTCGCCGTTGGCAGCAGCAGCAGCAGCCCCGGTGGCGGCGCGGACCCCGAGTGCCCGGGCGCACCCCGGCACCCCGGAGCGCGGCGCAGCGGCGGGACCGGTGCGGCCGCGCGCGCCTTAGGCTCGGCTCCGCGGCTCGGGGACCCCGACTCTCGGCCCAGCCAGCGAGTCCCCAGGCGCCGCCCGAGAGCCCGGGAGACAGCGGCCGCGGGCAGCCGGGCCAGGGGGCGGCCACCGCCCGCGCCGGGCATCCTCCGGGGCCCGGGAGCGCGGAGGGCGCTGCGCCACCGCGCGGTGCCGGCCCCCGCGGGCCTCCCCTAACCTTCCCCACCTCCTGGGCCCGAGGGACGCGGGCTCCGGCGGGCGAGCAGGGGGGGGAGGGAGCCGCCCCCGCCCGCGCCCCCCTCCGCTCTCCCCCAGCTTCTCCACGCCGGGCCGGGCGGCGCGGCCCGAAACGCCGGCGATGGCGAGCCCGCCGCTGCATGGGCCCCCCGGGCCGGCTGGCGGCGACGGCCCCAACCTCAACAACAACAACAACAACAACCACAGCGTGCGCAAGTGCGGCTACCTGCGCAAGCAGAAGCACGGCCACAAGCGCTTCTTCGTGCTGCGCGGGCCCGGCGACGAGGCGACGGCGACAGCGGGCGGGGGGCCGGCGCCGCAGCCGCCGCGGCTCGAGTACTACGAGAGCGAGAAGAAGTGGCGGAGCAAGGCGGGCGCGCCGAAGCGGGTCATCGCGCTCGACTGCTGCCTGAACATCAACAAGCGCGCCGACGCCAAGCACAAGTACCTGATCGCGCTCTACACCAAGGACGAGTACTTCGCGGTGGCGGCCGAGAACGAGCAGGAGCAGGAGGGCTGGTACCGCGCGCTCACCGACCTGGTCAGCGAGGGCCGCGCCGGCGACGCGCCCCCCGCCGCCGCCACCGCCGCGTCCTGCAGCGCCTCCCTGCCCGGCGCCCTGGGCGGCTCGGCCGGCGCCGCCGCGGCCGATGACAGCTACGGGCTGGTGGCGCCCGCCACGGCCGCCTACCGCGAGGTGTGGCAGGTGAACCTGAAGCCCAAGGGCCTGGGCCAGAGCAAGAATCTGACGGGCGTGTACCGCCTGTGCCTGTCGGCGCGCACCATCGGCTTCGTGAAGCTCAACTGTGAGCAGCCGTCGGTGACGCTGCAGCTCATGAACATCCGCCGCTGCGGCCACTCGGACAGCTTTTTCTTCATTGAGGTGGGCCGGTCGGCCGTCACGGGCCCAGGTGAGCTGTGGATGCAGGCCGACGACTCGGTGGTGGCGCAGAACATCCACGAGACCATCCTGGAGGCCATGAAGGCACTCAAGGAGCTCTTCGAGTTCCGGCCGCGCAGTAAGAGCCAGTCGTCGGGCTCGTCCTCCACACACCCCATCAGCGTCCCCGGCGCGCGCCGCCACCACCACCTGGTCAACCTCCCCCCCAGCCAGACGGGCCTGGTGCGTCGCTCGCGCACCGACAGCCTGGCCGCCACTCCGCCGGCCGCGAAGTGCAGCTCGTGTCGGGTGCGCACGGCCAGCGAGGGCGACGGCGGCGCGGCGGCGGGGGCGGCGGGCGGCAGGCCGGTGTCGGTGGCCGGGAGTCCCCTGAGCCCCGGGCCGGTGCGCGCGCCCCTGAGCCGCTCACACACCCTGAGCGGCGGCTGCGGCGCCCGCGCGAGCAAAGTGGCGCTGGCGCCGGCAGGGGGCGCCCTGCAACACAGCCGCTCCATGTCCATGCCGGTGGCGCACTCGCCCCCAGCCGCCACCAGCCCCAGCAGCCTGTCGTCCAGCAGCGGGCACGGCTCCGGCTCCTACCCGCCGCCTCCAGGCCCGCATCCGCACCTGCAGCACCCCCTGCACCATCCCGCGAGCCAGCGGCCCTCCAGCGGCAGCGCCTCGGCCTCGGGCTCCCCCAGCGATCCTGGCTTCATGTCTCTGGATGAGTACGGCTCCAGCCCTGGGGACCTCAGAGCCTTCTGCAGCCACCGGAGCAACACGCCCGAGTCTATCGCTGAGACACCCCCGGCCAGGGACGGCAGCGGGGGCGAGCTGTACGGGTACATGACTATGGACAGGCCCCTGAGCCACTGTGGCCGCCCCTACCGCAGAGTCTCGGGGGATGGGGCCCAGGACTTGGACCGAGGACTGAGGAAGAGGACTTACTCCCTGACCACACCTGCCCGGCAGCGGCCGGTTCCCCAGCCCTCCTCTGCGTCCCTGGATGAATACACCCTGATGCGGGCCACCTTCTCTGGCAGCTCCGGCCGCCTCTGCCCGTCTTGTCCCGCGTCGTCTCCCAAAGTGGCCTACCACCCCTATCCCGAGGACTACGGCGACATCGAGATCGGGTCCCATAGGAGCTCTAGCAGTAACCTGGGTGCCGACGATGGCTACATGCCCATGACCCCTGGCGTGGCCCTCCTGGGTGGTGGCAGCGGTAGCTGTAAGAGTGATGACTACATGCCCATGAGCCCCACTAGCGTGTCGGCCCCGAAGCAGATCCTGCAGCCTCGCACCGCCGCCGCAGCCCTGCCCCCCACGGGAGCCGCAGTGCCGGCGCCCACCCCCACGGCCAACAGGGCCTTTCCAGCCAACGCCGGCAGCTACAAGACGAGCTCCCCAGCTGAGAGCTCCCCCGAGGACAGTGGGTACATGCGCATGTGGTGTGGCTCCAAGCTGTCCATGGAGAACGCCGACACCAAGCTGCTACCCAACGGGGACTACCTCAACATGTCCCCCAGCGACGCGGGTACCTCGGGGACCCCTCCCGACTTTTTCTCGGCCGCCTTGCATGGCAGCGGAGAGATGCTCAGGGGAGTCCCTGGCTATTGCTACAGCTCCCTGCCCCGCTCCTACAAGGCTCCCTACACGTGCAACGGGGACAACGACCAGTATGTGCTCATGAGCTCCCCCGTGGGGCGCATCCTGGAAGAAGAGAGGCTGGAACCGCCGGCCGGCCCGGGGACCGCGCCGTCCACTAGCGCTCTCGCGGCAGCAGGCGGCCACACCCAGCCTCCTCACCCAGTAGTGCCTTCGCCCAGCAGGCCGAGTGGCAGCCTCGGTGGCCGCCCCGACAGCTTCCTGAACCAGCGCTGCCGGTTAGTGCGGCCCACACGCCTGTCCCTGGAGGGCCTTCAGACCCTGCCCAGCATGCACGAGTACCCTCTGCCGCCCGAGCCCAAGAGCCCCGGCGAGTACATCAACATTGACTTCGGCGAGGCCGCAGCGCGCCTGTCTCCGCCTGCGCCCCCGCTGCTGGCTTCGGCGGCCTCCTCGTCCTCGCTGCTGTCGGCCAGCAGCCCGGCCTCATCCCTGGGCTCAGGCACCCCGGGCACCAGCAGCGACAGCAGGCAGCGCTCCCCACTCTCCGACTACATGAACCTCGATTTCAGCTCGCCCAAGTCACCCAAGCCGGGCCCCCAGAGCGGGGACCCCGTGGGCTCCCTGGATGCCCTCCTGTCCCCCGAGGCCTCGTCCCCCTACCCGCCGCTGCCCCCGCGCCCTCCCGCCCCCACCTCCTCCCTGCAGCCGCAGCCGCCCCCGCCGCCCCCCCCAGGGGAGCTGTACCGCCTGCCCCAGGCGTCCACTTCCCAGGGCCCCAGCGCTGCCTGCTCTTCGTCCCCGGAGACTGGGGACAATGGGGACTACACCGAGATGGCCTTTGGCGTAGCTGCCACCCCGCCACAACCCATCGCGGCCCCCCCGAAGCCGGAAGGTGCCCGCATGACCAGCCCCACGTCCGGCTTGAAGAGGCTGAGTCTCATGGATCAGGTGTCGGGAGTGGAGGCCTTCCTGCAGGCGAGCCAGCCCCCAGACCCGCACCGGGGAGCCAAGGTCATCCGCGCAGACCCACAGGGGGGCCGCCGCCGCCACAGCTCCGAGACCTTCTCCTCGACCACCACTGTGACCCCCGTGTCCCCGTCCTTCGCCCATAACCCTAAGCGCCACAACTCGGCCTCTGTGGAAAACGTCTGTCTCAGGAAAAGCAGCGAAGGGGGCGGCAGCGGCGTCCTGGGTGGGGCCGATGAGCGCCCCACCTCCCCCCGCCAGTTGCAGCCACCGCCCCCCCAGCAGGCGCGCCCAAGGGTATCGAGTCAGCCTGGGAGCTTGGTTGGCTGCCCAGGGGGCAGTGGCTCTCCAATGCGCAGGGAGACCTCTGCCGGCTTCCAGAACGGCCTCAATTACATCGCCATCGACGTAAGGGACGAGCCTGGGCTGTCACCCACCCCGCAGCAGCATCCGCATCCGCAGCCCGGAGACAAGAGCGCCTGGGGCCGGACCCGCAGCCTCGGGGGTCTCATCAGCTCTGTGGGGGGCAGCAGCAGCGGTGGGGTGTGTGGGGGCCCGGGCCCTGGCGCCCTCCCCTCCGCCAACACCTATGCCAGCATTGACTTCTTGTCCCATCACCTGAAGGAGGCCACCATTGTGAAAGGTGAGGCCCTTGGACCTTGTAGATGGTGGGGGGACGGGTGGGAGAAGGGTGGGGGGAAGGGTGCGGAAGCCGGTGAACTGCTCTGGGTTCACTGCCATTCTCTTCTTTAGTACCTTGACCCCAGCCCCAAAATATTGGACGAGCCTTCTTGTTTTGTTTTCCTTTGGGCTCCCCTGGCTTCCTTCTGTTCCAAACACCAAGAGCAGTCCAGGGGTCTTTGAGTTGAACGGGAAGCTTCCCACTCAGGAGACTTGGATTTGTTGTTCTCCCCAAGCCCCAGGTCTTTTTTCCCACAGGCGCCCCCTCTCCCCCAGCTTCCCATCGGTTCCCAGGGCAGATGTCTCCCCAGGTCAGCCACCCCACAGTGCCAGGTGTAGGTTCTTGACCTGAAGTTTGACAGCTCCCTCACCTTTCCCTTTGTTTTCCTGGAACCAGGTCCCACCTGATTTTTGCTGAGCCTCAAAGTTTATAAAAACAGGCCTGCAAGTCATTTAGAAAATGAGCGTCCATTTTGGTGGCAGTAACAGGGAACAGTTAACCATTTCAGTTTTACACGTAAACTGGAGGGGCTTTGCCAGAGGAGACACCGTTTTTCTCCTGAGGATCTGAAATGGTGACAGTGCCTACATACAGTGTAAAAGCAGTGGTTTCGAGCATACCTGGGAGTCACCTGGTCAGAGTTAAACCTGGATGGCCAGGCTGTAGAAAGCCCCAGAGATTTTGATGCAGTAGGTGTAGGGTGTGGCCCGGAGTGTGCCTTTCTAAGAAGTTCCCAGGTTGTGTTGATGCTGCTGGTTGGGGAGCATCCTCTGAGCACCCTATCCTGTGCTAGGCTCACCTGAGGAGGTTTGAGAATTGACCTACTGGGCCTTGCCCAGACACATTCAAGCAAAGCCTCCAGTGGGCAGAGCACAGGCACCAGTGTTGTCCAGAGTTTGCCCAGGTGATGGGAACGTGTGGCCGGGATTTAGAATCAGTGCTTTAGAGAGAATAAGTGGAAGACAACCTTCCAGGTCTTTTCCAGAACAATTGGACAGGAGGGTGCCCCGTATTGTTCACAGTCTCATCAAATATCCATGAGGAGAGAGGGGTGTGCTTGCTTGCAGCTGGTGGTGCATTCTGAGGATCTCAAACTTTGAGTGGCTGGGGGTTGGGGGTTGGGGAACAAGAGGGAGTGAGTATTCAATTCCTCATTTTTCTTTGGTGGGGACAGGTGTTGCTAGTAAGGTAGAGGCTCTGGGGAAGCAGCGGATAGTGTTCTGTGGATGCTGGCCTAAGGTCAGCAGGCTGCAGAGGGACCGAAGCGATGATCTCGGTGGCTTGGGGATCCGTGCGCCTTTTGTTCTTAAAATAAACAGAGTAGCTGGATGCCATCTAAGTCCAACATAGGGTTTGGCGTATGCCAAACTGTTAGCCCCTGGGGTGTAAAAATATAGCTACGGGGTAAGTACCCTTTTGTTCTAATACAGTAGAGGAAGAGCTTTTTACTTCTTTTATTAAAACCATAGAGTAAAAGATGAAAAGAGTCAGAGAGAATTATCAGGAATATGGTGCTTTGACATCTAATTACATCAGTTGGAACTTGTCAGAATGTATCCCATAAACGATAACTCTCCACTGAAGGTCACTTTGCTTGGAGTTAAGCACTACAGGTACTTTTGGAAAAAGGCTCGTGTGCGTCAGGGAGTTGGAGGGTGAGCTGCCATCCAGGACACAGCCCATAGTAACACCCCAGCATGACCGGAACTGAGTTGGGGAAAAAAATGCATGCACACAAAAATTTTTTTCCTCTGCCCAAATGGGTATATGGTGTATATGCCATAGTGAACATGAAAGTACATTTTGCTGAAATCTGATTCTCATCAGAAAAGCAGCCTGAGAACATAACACCTTTTACACCTTTTGGTGAAGTAGGCAGCAAAAACCTGGACTGGACTGGGCCAGGCCCCAGGAGTGGGTTCTTGCTGCAGCGGGAGGAGTGAACTGGGGATTGTGTCGCCAAGCCCGAAACGATTCAAGGCCTTTCTGATAAAGGAGTTACATTCAGAAGCGTGATTCATGTATGATATAGTGCCCTTTTCAGACTAGGGAAAATTTTAAACTGCAAGAGATAAGTTTAGTTCGAGACCTGATTTAGCTTGGTTTTGTTTTCCCACCAGTAGAAAATTCCTTCCAGCCTATAGGATTCAGGACTCTGAAACCAAAACAGCAGTTCATGTGCTCTGTGGTGGCGGAACAAAGATGAGATTGGATTTGCATGCTGTTTTTCCAGAGTCTCTGGGGGCATTATGGTAAACACCCATTTAAGGAGGAAAAGGACTATTTTTAAGCAAAATAGAGAGCTGCAATTGATCCATTGTGCCAAAACCACAGTTTTTTAAAAGGACTGCATGCTAAATGGATTTCTAGTAAACTAATGTGACGCAGAGAACAGTAGAACAGGAAAGACAAGGAGGTCATCTTAATTAATGTGAACCTGAGTTGTGGTCTGTGGAGCCAGAAGGGAACTCAAAGTGAACGTCCACTTTTATTTAACTCACGTGTGCATGTAGAAATTTGTTTGTGGTGCTCATAAATGAAAAGTTCACAGGAGATAAGTGTCCTTTGAGAGAATGATTTATAGGGAGGAAGACTTGGAAAGCATTTCTTTGAAGATGAAATAGGAGAACTTCCTGGGTCATTGCGTGCGCTGGCCTGGTGCTCAGAAGTGGCTTATGTGTCCACACTGAGCTCCTCAGGCTCCATATGGGGAAATGTCATTAATTATGCTGAAGCAGAATAATTCGGGGTTGTTTGGGTAGGGTTTGGCATTTGCATAAGTGGTAACAAAGACGTAAGGTTCCTGCAGTGCTTGATAGTTGTTTACAATAGAATTGGGGATGGTGGGATTTTGGTGCCGGAACCAAAGAAACAATTAGTATACCTTAGGGATGTGTGTGTGTGTGTGTGTGTGTGCGCGCGCGCGCGCGTGTGCGTGCATGCTCTGGATTAATATATAATAATAATATATGTGATAGAGTAGTTATATATATTAATCCAGAGCAAATAAAAATTGAACTCTAAATTGTGCATCTTACTTGGGAGCAAGGGAAGGTCCTTAATGTGTGTTTTGCGTGTGTGTATGTAGGAAAATCCAACCAATCTGTCAGAGCGTTGTTGTTTCAGAACTGGAAATATAGTACAGGATTTACTGTACCTTAAAGCAGCAATTTAAAAACTGTACATTTTTGTGCTGATTGGAGGTTGGTGTGTATCGCAAAAGGTGCTATCTTAGTGTTCTGTTCCTCTTTAGTGGGATTTTTATTCTAAAATTGGTTTTCATGTATGTATAAGGCAGATTAGATAAGAGTTATCATTGAAAGCATCTGTGTTTAAATTCTGTTTGATAAAAGGACTATTTATTCATATCCTATGGTCAAAGAATTTGGGGATAAGAGGAATGTCTCCAAAGGAACAATATAATCACGATTTATGTTTAAAAGGATTGCCTATTGGAAGTCTGAAAGCAAAGAAAACTTGAATATTTTTCAGTTGCTTGACAAGCCACATGCCCTTTATTTTTCTGTTGTGCGTGCTGTCCAGCGCTTGTTGTAATAAGATAATAATGAACACTGCTCCTGCTCTGTTCCCAGGAACAGACAACCAAGGTGCTAATGAAAACACAGGCTTTCGTGAATGAAAGTCACGTGACTTGTTCTACTTCCTTTATTGAAAGAGAAACCTTTACAAAAATAGTACTTCGTAGAAGGAAGCATAGTATGTGGAACATTAAACCAGGAATCAGGAAACCAGGTTTCTGGTTGCTGATCTTAATGAGTCATTGTGTGACAGAGGAAAACCATTTAACCCCACTTTCTCACTTTCTCTGTCTGTAAAATGGGGTAATTATAACCCTCTCCCTTCCGTGGCTTTGGCCACTGGGCGGTCCAGCAGATCATAAAAATCAAGAACAGTTAAAACACTCTTCTAAAGGATCCTGCTCATAAACCCACTGATGCTATTGACACTTACTACCTTGAAACCATGAGTATTTACAGGAAAGAGTCACTTTTGTCCATGGCGTTCTTAAAACAAAAAACAAAAAAACAGGAAAAACTCAGAGTCTGAAAACGGAGCTAATACCCTTTTAAGAAACACGTGTCTTTTTTGCTTCTTTGCTAGTTAACACCCCAGTCGCCAGGAACCATGTTTTCCCCCTCTTTACTTAAGGTGAGATGTTGTTCATAGATAATTATCAATTGCAATGAAGTAGTGGTTTAGATTACATAGGAGAATAACAATGGGGAAAACAGCATCCTAATGCTGAAACTACATTAAGACTGTCCTTTTGATTACCTTTTATGATTTGTTTGTATGTCAAGAGATACTGTCAAGATGAAGATTTTTTAATTAGAATATGCTTTTTTTTTTTAACTGATGGTGTTGGCTCTCAATGTGGGGTGTATTGAAAGAAAACCAGAACCCTTGAACTTTCAGCTGCTGAATCCAGTGTTGGGCCTGGGTTGATTCACTTAGGGGAGCCACTCCAAAGTTTTGATTTGTGTGGTTGTCAGACAGGGTAGGGAAACCTCCAGAGTTTGCTTGAGTCATTTGCTTTTCCACAGGCCTCCTCCCCCCACAAAAGGAATTCTCATAGATATATATGTTTTATTTTCCTTGGAGCTCTATGGATTAAACGAATCTTTTTTTCTGGAGAGGAGAACTTGCAGCAGTTTAACGAACAGCATGGGCATAATGGGTTTTCTGTTAAAATTCCCACTAATGCATTTTCTGGAGAAGCATAGTTCCAAGAGCTGGTTAACTTTTGGTATCAGATTTGGCAAGTGGAGAGGGTTCTTTTTGTTTTGTTTTTTTGGGTAGTGCAGAATCAAGTGTTCCCGTTTCACCTTAGAAACTTAAGGGAAAATGTAACTTTACTCTTTTATCTGCATTGCCAAGTAGAGTGGGGAAAAACTCAGAGGGAAGTAAAGCGCCACCCAAAGCCCATTCTTCACCGGAGTCCACTAATAATGGGGGAATCCGCTGCCGATTTTGTCTACTACAGACATGAGGAGAATGTGTATTTCTGTACAAGATGGACAAGGCATCTTAATGTGGGCATTTTAAAAAACAAATGAA